GGTTACCGGAACCCCCAGTGGGTTAATGGGCCACATGGGCCCAAAGTGGAGAAGAGGAGGGGCGGCCAGGGCAGGCCGCGCCCCTCCCCCTCTAGTCCGAATAGGACAAAGGGGGGGTGCGGCGCCCCCCTTTCCTTCCTCCCCTCTCTCCCTTCCTTCCCCCTCTCCTAGTTGGACAAGGAAAGGAGGGAGTCCTACTCCCGGTGGGAGTAGGACTCCTCCTGGCGCGCCCCTCCTAGCCGGCCGCCCCCTCCCCCCTTGCTCCTTTATATACGGGGGCAGGGGGCACCTCTAGACACAACAACAATTGATCCTTGAGATCTATTAGCCATGTGCGGTGCCCCCCTCCACTATATTCCACCTCGATAATATCGTAGCGGTGCTTAGGCGAAGCCCTGCGTCGGTAGAACATCATCATCGTCACCACGCCGTCATGCTGTCGGAACTCTCCCTCGACACTCGGCTGGATCGGAGTTCGAGGGACGTCATCGAGATGAACGTGTGCAAGAACTCGGTGGTGTCGTGCTTTCGGTGCTTGATCAGTCGGGCCATGAAGACGTACGACTACATCAACCGCGTTGTGCTAATGCTTCCGCTTTCGGTCTACGAGGGTACGTGGACAACACTCTCCCCTCTCGTTGCTATGCATCACCAAGATCTTGCGTGTGCGTAGGATTTTTTTTGAAATTACTACGTTCCCCAACAAATAAGTCTTCAGATCACGCGGACAGGAAGACTTCAATGATGCCAAACACTCTTTGGGCTCTCGATGTTTTGGGCTTGATCCTCGCAAGGTTTCTCTCTCAAAGGCTTCGGTGGTGGGTTGCTCTCAAACGACAAAAGCTGTGCACTAACTCTGAGTAGCCACCGATTTATGGTTGAGGGGGTGGGCTATTTATAGCTAGGAGGCAACCCGACATGATATGTCCGAAATGACCCTGGGTCACTAAGGAACCGACATGTGTCCAATGGTCGGATTTCAAACACACGCGACAGCTTGACTTGGGCTACAAGTAAAGCTGACTCATCCAACTCTGGATAAGATTTTCTCTCGTTGTCTTCACTCGAAGACATATGATTTAGGTTGAGCATCACATCAATTTTCTGACTTTGTTCACTTGGACCCCACTTAACAGTTCGGTGGTTCCTATGACTCAAAAAAGAAGAAAATGAAACTACGAAAGAAACTATGTCTTCACACTCCATAGTCTTCAAGTGAATGTCTTCACACGTCATTATCTCCGACGTGAATGTCTTCACGAACCACCATTGTCTTCAATGTCTTCACACATTTTTAGGGGTCATCTCTTATAGGTAAACCGAATCAATGAAGGACTTCTACCTGTGTTATCATGTGAATCTCACAAACACATTAGTCCCTCAACCACGGTTGTCGTCAATACTCCAGAACCAACTAGGGGTGGCACTAGATGCACTTACAATCATACATGCAATCCACTGTCTCTTCCGAAGATAACGACCACACACTTGCCATTGGACAATCTATTAGAGCATGTTTCCATGAGTCGGGTGCAGAACAAAGGGTACAGATCCGTGTTGTGGTCATATTACGATGGTGTAAAATATCCGACGTTGGAAGAGACTCGTGGCACAACCTCCATAAGAAAACCTTCAGCTTGGAAGGCACTTTCAAACTCCACAAAGACGTCCAGGCCTTCTCCTCTATCGCCATGTTTGACCGGCGCCCGCGCCCGCTAATGTGTATTCTGCAAACGCGCGCTGAGCTGGCCCGGCCCATATAGTTTGTTTTCCAAACGAAAAAAGGTGCATGATCCATGTTTCAAACTCACAACCACATCATGGTGCGGGCTTCCTTCCAACCCTACGCTACGCCTGGCTAGTTGACTGTTTGTTCTTTATTTCAGTTTTGCTTTTTTTTCTTTTACTTTTTCCTCATCCTTTTTTGTTTCTTCTTTTTGTTTTCTTTAATGCGTGTTTTTTTTAATTTGTGAACCTTTTTCTAAATTGATAAACTTTTTTTCAAATTTGATGAACTCTTTTCAAATTCGATGAACTCTTCTCAACTTCGATGAACTTTTTTCAAAATCTAAGATCTTTTTTTCAAATTCAATGATTTTTTTTCAACATCAATGTACTTTTTTTCAAATTCAATGAACTCTTTTCCAAATCTGGCGAACTTTTTTTTGAAAAAGTGATGAACTTTTTTGAATTCGATTTTTTTTCAAAATTCAGTATTTTTTTTCAAAATCAATGAAATTTTTTCAATTTCATGAACTTATTTCAATTCATCTACTTTTTGAATAAATTCACTTTTTTCAAATTTGATGAACTCCTTTCAAATTCGAAAATTCGATGAACTCCTTTCAAATTCGAAAATTCGATGAACTCTTTTCAAACTGGATGAACTCTTTTTAACTTCGATGATCTATTGATGAACTTTTTTTCAAATCCGATGAACTTTTTTCAAAATCCAATAACTTTTTTTCAAATTCGATGAACTACTTTTCAAATGGGGGAATTTTTTCAAAAGTTGATGATCTTTTTTGAATTCAATGAACTTTTTCAAAATGAAGTAATTTTTTTTTCAAATTTGATGAACTTTTTTCAATCTGATGAACTTTTTTAAATTCGTTTATTTTTTTGAATACATTCACTTTTTTCTAATTTGTGATGTTTTTTAAATCTATGGACGTTGAAATTTTGTTCTCGTTTATGCTTGAAAAGAAATCATGTTTTTCTAAATAGCGCGGCTAGCCGGCTACTGTTGTGTTCTTCAGAGGTACGCGCACCCATATTACTTTCGACTAAGGTCTTGTGGCACAAACGGTCAGCCGGCCGCGCGCTGATCTATACGGCGCCGGTTCGATTCCTCGGATGTTTTTCGCCCTATTTAATACGTTTTGCGCTGCTGTCCGTGGGCTGGCCCACTAGCGTGCCGCTGCCCTCGCGAACGGAGGCCCACCACACAGCCTCTCTCTCGCGCTCGACTGGCTCCCTACAAAGAAAGAATTCCTTATTTAACACTGTCCAAAAATATTATTCCCTATTTGACATTGAAAAAATATTTCTTCCCTATCTAACACAACCTTTAAATTTTATTCCCAATATAACACTTCCATCTGTTTTTTGTGCAAACAGTGTTAAATGGCACATGAAATGACAATTCTACCCTTGAACATCTATTCAATCATTTTCTTTATATTAGACTTAGGTATCCTAGTTCTAATCAAGTCTCTCGTCGTGCATAGATGTGTATATAAGCACCGTCAAGACTGCTTTGTACGATAGAAAAAAGATTGAGAAGTATAATGAAAATGCAGGAGCGACATAACCAGCAAATCTCTCTGACATGTTTGTTCTATTCGCCAAGCTAGCACAAGCAAGACTCAAGGCTCAAGTACGTCCGTACATACGCAGCTAGAGATGAGCACGTTCTGCTTCTAGTGAAAAATTAATCAAGCTGCGTGTGTTTTTGAGCTAGCATTGCACGTACGTGTGCTGCTTGGGTGAATCGATTTGGCATTCTAAAACCAACACACCACTACGGGCTCGCGCAACACTCATCTGCTCCCATCCGCTGCGCCTTGCTCGTTGTTGGCCCAGACCCCACGTCAAGTACCTTCCGACGACGATGACGAACGACGACCTTTGGCTGGATACTCAAACGCACGCACGCATAGGAGACTTTGGCTGATTGCCACATGTACGTACCGTGCATGGTGATTTTACTTTATTGCTTCAATCCACGGTCTTACAAAGTATACGTGTATATAGCAGCAGCTAGGACACGAAACCATGTATGTACAAACTTGGTGATTGAACGTGTACAAACGGGACACGCACCACATACATCTTGGTTATTTCCAACCGTCCCCACCACTCCGCCTCGAGGAATTTTTGCAGCCGAAATCAGGGGTGAACTTGTCTTTTCACGTTCCATTTAACACCATTAGGTCAAAAAATAGATGAAAGTGTTATATTGGGAACAAAATTTAAAGTTGGTGTTAGATAGGGAAGAAACATTTTTCCAATGTTAAATAAGGAAACGAAATTTAAAACAGTGTTAAATAAGGAATTCTTTCCCCTACAAAACGAGGCGACTCCCAAAGCCCGCACCCGCTAATCCCCTCCCACACCCCAGTGTCGCGCCCGCGCCCCGCCGCCGCCGAACCCTTGCTCCGCGTCGCCCTCCCCGCCCCCTTCCCCGCCGCCGGCGGCCGCGGTCGCGAGAGTCGCGGCAGGGTGCGCGAGGAGGGTGAGGTCTCCCCCGGCCCCTCCAACTACTAGGTGAGACACGCGCCACTTCCGGTCCCCGTCGCTGCTCGTAGCTGCTGCTTAGTAGCTTTGCTTGTTGAACATGGGGTATGAGTTTGACACGAGTATGATGTGCCGCCGCGCCGAACCCTAGCTCCGCGTCGCCCTCCCCGCCCCCTCTGCCGCCGCCGGCCGCGGTCGCGACGGTCGTGGCAGGGTGCGCGAGGAGGGCGAGGTCTCCCCCGTCCCCTCGAACGACTAGGTGAGACACGAGCCGCTCCGGGTCCCCGTCGCTGCTCGTAGCTGCTGCCTAGTAGCTTGCTTGTTGAACATGGGTAGGGTTTTGACACAGTATGATGTGAATGTGGAGCCGTACATACTTGATTAGTACTATCTCTGTAAACTAATATACGAGCGTTTAGATCACTTTAGTGATCTAACGCTCTCATATTAGTTTACAGAGGGTTATCCGCATCATGGTGCTAAGTACAACCCTTCTGCCATTATGGATGGTTAGGCCTGCCTCAAGTTCCGGTACATAATTGAAGCTGTAAGATGATAAATGGTGTGAGTTGTGTGTTCTGTCACTATTGCCAACTGGGTGAGTTAGATTTGGGCAGGGTTAAGTTTATCTCTTTTATATGTAACCTACTTGTCACTTCTCAGTGAGTTTTGTGGCAGGAATTTATAGTTTATCTTATTTGTTCAAATATTGTGAGCAGGCCCTGCAATCTCAGCTGTTACCTCTATCTATACTGGGAAGTATGGGCAGGCATGATGAAGGTAAGATTGTATTTGCTCCTCTTTCTATCTTTTCCTGTGATTTCCTTTACCGAAAGGATGTTTTCTTAAACTTATTCCAATGTTTCCGCCAGAGCAAAAGAGGATGCTCAAGAAAAGGGATTTGGCTGAGAAGAAAGCGAGTGAAACAGCAAAGAAAAACAGGCCTAATCAGGATAGCTATGAAGTGAGTACTGGCTACCTTCTGTATATGATCTATAATCTCTGCATACTAGTAGTTGGCTAGTAGTTAAATTTGTGTGTTGTGTTACAGAAAATTATCATCCATCGCCTAAGCATTGATGCCACATCTGATGAACTATTGGGGTACTACCGAAGTGTCCGCGCGACATTTTCAACTGTCTCATCTTTTGTTGTTCGTGTCTCTGTTCGTCTACCTGGTAAACCCCAAGGGCCCTTTGATGATGGGGGAGTACCAGTTACAAGTCCACCTCAAGAAGCCAAAGTATCTCTTGAACTTGCAAAAACATCTTATATTTTGGTAACAGAGATATTACTCCTAAAACTAACAATCTATTTCACCTCACAGGACTTCACTTATCAGATCACTGAGTTGTTTGATCCCCTGACTCCAAATGGCCCTGTTATACAAATTGCCGTACAACAGTTTAGTGGATATGCAATGGCGGTCCGGGCTCTCTATCTTGATAATGACCCCTTTTTACAAGCCTGGTATGCATTCCGTGGTGCAGAGCGGCAGCTACCAAAGCATTTATTTCCAAACGTGATATCTTTTCCCTACCGGGTGGAGTATGATGATGTGTAAGTTCTTCTAATGTCATCAGTAAGAAATCAAGTTAGTTTTATTTACGGTTACATCACCATAACATGAAGGACTATGCTATAGTACTTTAATAGGAATATGAAGAGCTGTTGATTACTATATTTTATTTTTTATTTTTCATCAGTTCCATCACGTTCATGTTCGTGCTCCCTGGCCATTATATCTCATCTTTGGCCCCCTATAGCTAGTTCTAATATCAGATATATTTCCTCCTGCTAGTTGATAATCTTATTTCCTTACAAGCCGTCTATAGCATTTGTTTTGTTACAGTTTGTCTAATTTTCTTAGCTGTGTACCTGCCTTTGTACAGTAATTATCTGGACATCCTGATATCATCTTTTGTTGCTATGAAGTTTTTGCTGCATGCAATATCTGTTTTGTTTTGCGATTTCTTATTAAGACCCTTCTTTTATGCAGTAATGCCATACATATCCATCCTGAAATCCTGAGAGAAGTTTATGAATATTTCGTGACTTATCAAACAACTGCGGTGGAATTGGCTCTTGAAGATGAAGTAATGGAACACACTATTGATGGTCAGACATACAAAGATACCGTTTTCTTTCTCATTGGAGAGTGCCAACGATTCTTCGAACTGCTAGAACTCACATGGAATGCTTTTGCCCTTCCTCCGTCTGGTTTCCTGCTCTCGGAAATTCCCTATGCCAATCTTCTGATACACAGATGGAGGCATTTCTCGGAGGCCATTGAAAAGCTCTGGCTTGCCATCTTTGAAGAGAGGAATGATCTTCCATTTGAAGTTAGCCGTGCTAGCGCATTAAATTCACTGAAAAAGTTGGAGGCATTGTTTCCGGAAATCAACTTCAAGAACGAAAGGCAAGAGTATTGTGTTGAAGTTCTTGCCGGTTCTACGGTACAATTGCTGAACTGCGATTTGCCTACTATCAAGAAGGTCCTCATGAGGTCTGATGGTTTCTGCGGCGAATTCTTTGCCCAGAAGAATGTTCAGAAGAAGAAGCGCCATGAGAAAGCTCTGGCTAGCGATTAGTTTAGAAGAGAGATGCCTTCCATCTGAAGGTAGTAGTGCTAAAGCATTAACCATGCTGCAGTACCTGATGGCTTTTAAAGGGTAATTCTTTTCAAGTATGTTTTGGCCTGGTTCAAACTGCAGCGCCTTAACGGTCATGTAGGGGCGTGTTGCCATGTTCTGTAGAATCTTATGTAGTAGTAGTATCCCTGACCTTGGCTGGAGTATTCCATCGTCATAGACAGGTGTGTTGTTACAATGTCCAGAGATGGTTTTCAATTGGTGTTTGAATCTATTCCATCTTGTATCGGATTTGTGAAGTTTATTTCGAAAATAGACCCTTTAAGGTGAGGTACGATGCATACGAAATTCTCATTCATAAGTGTATCCGTTCAGTGTAACGAAATTCTCATTCATAAGTGTATCCGTTCAGTGTAGCGTCTCCTTTGCTTACTCTGTTGTGCCTCGTTTGTAATAAATTAGCTCAACTTGCTGCGATGGGAAGTCGTGAACTAGTGAACCGTAGGGTGTGGTTGGGAACCGTAGACTATGTAAATATGTTGGTGTGGGTGTACCTACAATGATGTTCGCATCGTTACGGCTTTGGCGTACTCTTGTAAAAAAAATCCTGTGTAGCATCGTGAGAATAACACAATACGAAGGGAGTCAAAGGAGTCACTAAAACCTTCTTCCCACCAACTCCTCCCGCTCCGTTCCTGGGTTGCTGCCAAATGTCACCCAAATCACAGATTCGGCCAAACGCCCAAAAGAAACGCTCACACGCACCGACGCACATGAACACATCAGCCTTGTTTCCATGCATCCGATCTCGGAAAACTTTGGCAGATCAACGCGCCGTACCGGCTAGTATCATCTTATTCTATTACGAGGCAGGAATCGAAGCTGGCCTGCCATCCACTGCGGATCTCGCAATTTCATATTCCCCGGTACTCGCGCGCCGCTGACTTCCTCCGCACCCCGATCGATGAAGACGGAAGCGTCGGCGCCCACTAGCCGGCACGTCGTTGCGTCGTCGATCCCAACCAAAACCCTCCTCCTCGTCTCCACAGAGGAGTTGTAAACACTATACATCTCGGAGCAAGGCGCTTCTGGCACAAAGCCAGCCATTGCGCCAGGATCGAGAGAGAAGACAAGCTACGCTAGCTAGTTAAGTAGCTCTCGGTCGTACGCGCGTCTGCTGCTATGGCGGCCGGCGGGTTGGGGCGGCCGGGGAGGCCGGCGCGCGGAGGGAACAAGCAGATGCAGAAGACCATCAACAACGTCAAGATGACGCTCATATGCGGCTTCATCACCATCCTCGTCCTCCGCGGCACCGTCGGCATCAACCTCATGGCCTTCTCCGGCGACGGCGGTGGCGACGCGGCAGCTGACGCCAAGGTCGCCGAGGACATCGAGCGCATTCTCCGCGAGATACGCTCCGACTCCGACCCCGACGACGAGGACCAGCTCGTCGTCGATGCGTCCTTGTCAGGCAACTCGACGACCATGCCCGTCGTCGAGGAGAAGAACTACACCCTCGGCCCCAGCATCACGCGGTGGAACGCCAAGCGCCGCCAGTGGCTGTCCCAGAATCCGGGGTTCCCTTCCCGCGACGCGCGGGGCAGCCCGAGGATCCTGCTGGTGACCGGGTCGTCGCCGGGGCCGTGCGACAACCCGGCCGGCGACCACTACCTCCTCAAGTCGACCAAGAACAAGATCGACTACTGCCGCCTCCACGGCATCGAGATCGTGCACAACATGGTGCACCTCGACCGCGAGCTCTCCGGGTACTGGTCCAAGCTGCCTCTGCTGCGCCGCCTGATGCTGTCGCACCCGGAGGTGGAGTGGGTGTGGTGGATGGACAGCGACGCGCTCTTCACCGACATGGGCTTCGAGATCCCGCTCTCCCGTTACGAGGGGAGCAACCTCGTCATCCACGGCTACCCTGAGCTCCTCAACAACCAGCGCTCCTGGGTGGCCCTCAACACCGGCAGCTTCCTGCTCCGAAACTGCCAGTGGTCGATGGAGCTGCTGGACGCGTGGGCGCCCATGGGGCCCAAGGGCCGCGTCCGCGAGGCGGCCGGGAAGGTGCTGACGGCGAGCCTGACGGGCCGGCCGGCGTTCGAGGCGGACGACCAGTCGGCGCTCATCCACCTGCTGCTCACGGAGAAGGATCGGTGGATGGAGAAGGTGTACGTGGAGAACCAGTACTACCTCCACGGCTTCTGGGCGGGGCTGGTGGACAAGTACGAGGAGATGATGGAGAAGCACCACCCGGGGCTCGGCGACGAGCGGTGGCCCTTCATCACGCACTTCGTCGGATGCAAGCCCTGCGGCAGCTACGGAGACTACCCGGTGGAGCAGTGCCTCACCGGCATGGAGCGCGCCTTCAACTTCGCCGACAACCAGGTGCTCAGGCTGTACGGCTTCCGGCACCGGTCGCTGACCAACCCCAAGGTGAAGCCGGTGGCGAACCGGACGGCGAGCCCGCTCGTGAACAAGGAGGCGTCTCTCAAGATGGACGCCAAGATCGAAACTTAAGTGGCTAATCCTTCGCCCCTGAGAAAGATTTTTCAGAGGTTTTGCTGTTGGAGTTCCAGGTTAGGCACAGCAAGATGCCACGTTTTTTGCTGTTTTAATTGAACACAGGACAGGAGTAATAGAATTGCTGCAGATTGTCAATCTCTTTCTTGTTTTGGCTCCAGGACGAAATCAAAAACAGAGAGTTCTGAAGCTTATTTTTGTTCCAAGATCAGTTTTAAAACTCGTTACCTCGAGTTAAATGGTTTCATGTTAGACGAGTATTTGTGGTGCACTTTGCGTTGTGCTTGTGTGGAAGAAATCTTTGAATCCTGCACTAGATTAGGAACGCAAAATAGGTTTTAGATCATGCGTCACGGTGCTTGGTTCAAAACAAACAACGAAGCCTCAATGCCTGAAATGAGATGGAAATGAAGTGAATGGACGACTAGTCATCATTTTTTTAGGGTGTGGTTAGATCTCAGTCGTCTCGGTCAAGCGATAGAACATATAAAAAAGAAAAAGGAAAAAAAAAGAAATTTTTTACGGATCTGCACGTAAGATCTAACGAATACAACATCTATTGAGACTTCATTAAGTCTCAGTTGACTAAGATTTAGCAATCATATTTATTAATTCTCAAGTGTGTATATACATCTCAAAAGAGTACCTGAGGGGTAAAAAACGTCCCTAGCCCCCCCCCCTCCTCCCCGGCCCTGGGCGACTCGTGTGGCGGTGGCGCTTGCCACGTCCCTCAACTCTGCACCCTCCCACCCTCCCTTCGCCACTGCCCGCGCAAAGCTCCTCGCGATGGCTGGTGGCGGGGCACGTCCCTCCTTCACATGTGCACAACTAGCACGGGGTGGCACATCTAGTTAGAGGCGCCGAGCTAGGGCAGGGCTCCATGAGCGACGCGAGTTGTCGTCCCAATGATGTGTGTGGGGGTTGGCGTCGCGACAGCGGTAGGGCCGATTTGTGGTGGCCTAGTCCTACCTGGCCGATCTATGCGGGTGATTCCCGGAGAGTACGGGGGAGACAAGTATAGGATCTCACACTAGGTGAGATCAACCACAAAATCATATTTACACATTCTGGAAATTTCTAAAATTATATGACAACATATCTCCAGGGTGTGTCTACAACTCTAAAAGAAATCAGCTCAAAACTCGATGTACAATTAGAGATTCAAAGAAGATAAATTCGAATGTGAATAGTGAAAACTTTGGTTGAATAATATTTTGACACTATTCACATATCATTTTATCTTTTTTGTTTCTGTTATTGTAGATCGGATTATGAGCTGAAACTTTTATGGGGACCTGTCCTAGGTCGGCACGTGCACGCATCTGTCTGACGTGCCATAAACACCATTTTATATGCAACTGCAAGCGTTGTACTTGACTGTAACCGAAAGAAATATGCCCTAGAGGCAATAATAAAGTTATTATTTATTTGTTTATTATTCATGCTATAATTGTATTAACCGGAAACTTAGTACATGTGTGAATACATAGACAAAACATAAGTGCCCTAGTATGCCTCTACTTGACTAGCTCGTTTATCAAAAATGGTTATGTTTCCTAACCATAGACATGTGTTGTCATTTGATGAACGGGATCACATCATTAGGAGAATGATGTGATGGACATGACCCATCCGTTAGCTTAGCAATATGTTCGTTTAGTTTGTTGCTATTGCTTTCTTCATGACTTATACATGTTCCTATGACTATGAGATTATGCAACTCCCAAATACCGGAGAAACACTTAATGTGCTATCAAATGTCACAACGTAATTGGGTGATTATAAAGATGCTCTACAGGTGTCTCCGATGGTGTTTGTTGGGTTGGCATAGATCGAGATTAGGATTTGTCACTCCGTGTTTCGGAGAGGTATCTCTGGGCCCTCTCGGTAATGCACATCGCTATAAGCCTTGCAAGCAATGTGACTAATGAGTTAGTCGCGGGATGATGCACTACGGAATGAGTAAAGGGACTTGCCGGTAACGATATTAAACTAGGTATTGAGATACCGACGATCGAATCTCAGGCAAGTAACATACCGACGACAAAGGGAACAATGTATGTTGTTATGCGGTTTGACCGATAAAGATCTTCGTAGAATATGTAGGAACCAATATGAGCGTCCAGGTTCCGCTATTGGTTATTGGCCGGAAGTGAGTCTCAGTCATGTCTACATACTTCTCGAACCTGTAGGGTCCGCACGCTTAACGTTCAATGACGATCGGTATTATGAGTTTATGTGTTTTGATGTACCGAAGGTTGTTCGTAGTCCGTATGTGAACATGGACATAACGAGGAGTCTCGAAATGGTCTAGACATAAAGATTGATATATTGGAAGACTATATTTGGACACCGGAAAGGGTTCCGAGTGGTTCGGGCATTTTTCTGGAGTACCGGGAGGTTACTGGAACCCCCCGGGGAGTTAATGGGCCTTAATGGGCCATGGTGGAATAGAGGAGGAGGCGGCCAAGGTGGGG